GATGTAAGTAGGGTTTAGGGCTTAGGCTTTTTGATCTAGTAAGTCAAGGGTCTAGTGTCTATGATTCAGGGCTTTCTCTGTAGGTGTAGGGTTTTGGGTTTTGGGGATAATATTGGAGTTAGGGGTTCAGGGATGTGGGGCTTGAGCACCACTTAGTCGCCGTGTAGCCTTTAGCTTGTCTGGGCTGCTTTAGGACCCTGAAGCCCCATCTAAGAAAGCTAAAGCCCTATTCCAAGACGATGTTTGCTCTCCTGGTGTGATTTCAAGAGCTACCCGCCCCCAAAACCCTACTTAAACCCCCCAAAAGTAAGTAGAATAATGGCCCAACACCTATAAAAGGCTATTATTCTACATACTTTTGGGGTCTAGGTAAACCCCAAACCCTATGGACCCTGGAACTCAGCATTTGAGCTAGTCCGGCTTCTGGCCGAGGCGGGATCCCAGCACTACGGCGAAGCCTAAGCGCAGAGTAGGGCCCGGTGGCTAGGCTTTGCCGGGCCTCATCACAGCGTCAACCCTGAAAGAGGGGCAGCAATCGATTCGCGACGCCGGAAAAAGCAGCGTTTCTGTCTGCTTGTTCTTGTTCTGTCGGGGATTCGGACTGGGATTAGGGCACGAAGCATGTGGTTTCATCAGGGTCTCGGTTTTGGTCAATGCTCAGTGCATGGTTTGGTTGTTTGTTCTAGACTTCTAGACCCTAAGGGATCGTAAGCCCAAAGCCCTAAATCCTAAACCCTAAATCCTAAACCTTAAATCCCAAACCCTAAACCCCTAAAGCCTAAACCCTATTTAGACATCAAATCTCAACGATGCTAAACCCTAAACCCCGAACCCGAGACTCAAACCCGCCCAACGCTAAACGCTATTTGCACATTCGCACTGCTTTAAGGCTGGTCCAGGCTCGAGCGGTGGTCCAACGGCCCTGTACTCAGGGGTGGATGCTTTCAGGGGAGGGGTCTGAGGTTCAGACGGGCACTGTAAGGTTTAGGGTCTAGGGGTTTAGAGTTCAGGGCTTTGGGGGTTTGGGGATTTCGTGGGTGAGGGTGGTTGAGAATATTCAGGGCATAATGTACTCAGGGTTCTTGAACAAATTCAGATAGCCCCACTTGCTGCGAGACTGCTGTTAGTTTGTATGGTATTGCTTTCACTTGATGGCTGCTGGACATGTCTGACTGTCGTCTTGTCCCTTCGAGTTGTAGCGGCCCAATCGGAGGCTCGAGCCGTAACCCCTCCAGCCAAGCATACAGCCCAGTGTTTTTTGAGAGGTTTCGTGCAAAGCAGATAAGGCCGCCTGAATTCAAACCGCTTAAGCACTAAACCCTAAACCCCTTAAGCCCTCAAGCCTAAACCCCTTAAACCAATTCAAACCCCTTAAGCCCTAAAGCCTAAATAAGCCCCTTCAACCGATTTAAACCCCTTAAGCCCTAAACCCCAAACGCCTCAAACCAATTCAAACCCCTTGAGCCCTGAACCCTAAACTCCTTCAACCAATTCTAAAAGCCTAAACCCCTTAAACCAATTCAAACCCTTGAAGCCCTAAACCCTAAACTCCTCAAACCAATTCAATCCCCTTAAGCCCTAAAGCCTAAATCCCTCAAACCAATTCAAACCCGTGAAGCCCTAAACCCTAAACCAAACCTCTTAAGCCCTAAACCCCAAACGCCTTAAACCAATTCAACCCCCTTAAGCCCTAACCCGAAGCCCCTTAAACCAATTCAACTCCCTTAAGCCCTAACCCGAAGCCCCTTAAACCAATTCAAACCCCTGAGACTCCTTAAGCCAATTCAAATCCCTTCAAGCCCTAAACCCTCAACCCCTTAAATCTGTAGGACACTGTAGAAGCAGTACAAAACTCTAAACCCCAAACCCTACCCCAAAGCCCCCTAAACCCTAAACCCTAAACCGTACCCCAAAGCCCCCTAAGAAGCAGGAAAAAAACTCCAGGCAAATCCGAAAGAAGGGGGAGGACCCTGATCCTGCAGCGGATGCGATTTAGGGTTTAGAGTCGGCAGTTCGGGGTTTAGGGGTTTAGGGTTCAGAGTTTTAGGGTTTAGGGGTTTAGGGCAAAGTTTAGGGTTTAGGGTTTTAGGTTTTAGGGTTAAGGTTTGGGATTTAGGGTTTAGGGCTTAGGGTTTAGGGCCAGCTTACTTAATCATCACCGCAGCGGAGCCCCCCGAGTGGGACCATCTCTCACTCAGCGGCGGATGACCATGTCACGTGGGTAGTTCTCTGAAGTTGGGTCACTTTTTCAGATTCGCAGATTAGTGCGGCACCCCTATAAAAAGGATCGTAAAACCCTAAACCCTAAACCCTAAACCTAGATCGCGCAAGCTTCAGCACCCGCCGTGCGAAGCACCAAATAGGGCTGTCGATCCGAGTCCTATAAGCCCTAAACCATTAAACCCTTACCTGGACCAGGAAAGTATGTAGAAGAGGCTTTGGGCCATTATTCTACCTACTTTGGGGGGTTTAGGTAAGCCCTAAACCCCTAAACCCAAAACCACTAAAGCCTAAACCCTAAACCCCGTTCATAAGCCCTAACTCCCTAAACCCTACAGCCCCTAAAGCCTAACCTACAGGTGATGGATTTGCCGGCACCTGCAGCAGCACCGAGTCGTTCGGCGGATGCCGGCCAGCAGCCCCAGTACCGGTTGAGGGGATGCCCAAGAAGGTTTCAATAACATAGGGGCTTGACCCCTAAACTCTAAACCCTAAACCCTAAGCCCTAAACCCTAAACACTAAACTCTATTCTCTAAACCCTAAACCCTAGTACTTGCTAGTCGGGTCTACAGAGTCGTTGGTGGTATAAGGGTTTTTGATGGGCTGGGGAAAGGGTCTGCAGCCTTTGGGATCTTCTGACTCTAACTGGGTTGGTTTTTGGGACATTTTTTATTTTCCTTATTTGGGTTTAAGGTTGCTTTATATAAATATTTTTCAGAGGGTTTAAAGGCCAACCCAGCTAAGGCTTTTGGGGGATCGGGTTTTTATGTAGGGGCCTAAATAATTACTCATACTATTTTT